ACACACACACACACATACACACACACGCACACGCACACACACGCACACACTCACACACACACACACACACACACACACCAGCACCGCTGCTGCTCTGACGAAGCAGGTGCTTTATTAGCCAGTGCCATGTTTTGGATGGGTTGATGTCACTTCACCCAGCACAGGGACATGCTTCACCAAGAACCTTCCTACCTCAGTTTGGGGAGCGAACTGGACTGACTGCTAGGAAGGTCAGACTTAAGCGCCTGACCAGTGTCACACAGCCAGCAAGTGCCAGGATTAGTCCGGAACGAGGGACTCTGTAGCCAGCGATCCAGAGAGGTCCGAAGGCTCAGCGCATGTGCCAGGGCCCTTGGCAAAGGCAGCCCCGTGCTCAGGAGGCTGATGTCATTCCCTTTGAAAGAGATACCCTTCTCCCACTTCCCTGACGACTTAACCTTCCCCCAGCTTCACAGACTCAGCATTCTACAAAATAATTTAGATCCTGGATGTATCCATCGCTGAAGCCTGTGAGCGTCAGAAGGAACCCACTCTCCCGAGCATAAAATCCTGGGGGAGATAATCACAGTTTCTTTAAAAGACAAAACACTTTCTATATCCAGTTTCTGCTGAAACAGCAATGGATTCAATCAAAGATATTGGGAGAATTTACAATTATTCCAAATAGAGCTATGCAGAAGTGGCTCCCTGGCTGTGAGGCCATTGATTTCTTGGTGTCGTCCTGCCCATGGGGAGGGCCAGGGAGGCCACAGCTCTGCAAGCTCAGATTCCTGAGAGAAAGAGGTCTTTCTCTGAGGGATGGCCTCTGCCCTCCCATGCCAGCAATGGACTGGCTCCTGGGGAAGGAATGAGAGCTGTAGGCATCTCTGGGAGGGCTGCTTTCAGATCCCTGGATGGAGAAAAGAGCCCCTCTGCTCCCTGCCACACAAGCAATAAACTTCACCACATGTCAAGCTTGTACCTACCCCCATCAACTCCAGCTTCCTCTTAGGGGTTCAGTGGCTTTAGAAGTATCCCCCCCCCAACTTCCCTGGAGTCCCAGACCTAAATTTAAGTTCTATTGAACTACTGACTAACTCTGTGACCTTGCTTGACCTCTGAGCAACTTCCTTTCTGTGTGTAAACCATAAGTAATAGGATTGTAGGGGGGCTGAGCAGGATGCCCCCACCCACCCCCAGTGTCGTTTGAAAGAGATTGGTATTCCAGCAAGAGAAATGACAGAGAGGTGACTGATCTGTAGTGTCGGCATCACAGCTTGCTGCAAGGCCTTTGGATCCGTAGGGT